TGAAGAACAAAACAAAAAGAGCTAGAGGTGATGGATGACGCCAAGGAAAAATATCATCTAATACAACAGGACTGTTACATATATGAATTCACAGAGATAAGTGACACTGGGCGTAAGACCAGAAAGGGTTGAAATCAGACAAAGCCCTACCCTGAGAAGGGAAGTGGACAAAATCCCACCCTCAGATAAGAAGGTGTTTGCTAGCCCGGCAGTGGTGGCGCACACCTTTAATCCCAGCACTCAGGAGGCAGAGGCAGGTGGATCTCTGTGCGTTCGAGACCAGCCTGGTCTACAAGAGCTAGTTCCAGGACAGGCTCCAAAGCTACAGAGAAAACCAAAAAAAAAAAAAAAAAAAAAAAAAAAAAGAAGGTGTTTGCAATTGGTATCCGTTTTCTCCAATGGAGTGACACTGGGGATATCACTCGCACTCCAGGGCAAACCCCATGCTGAGGAGTGAGTGGCCAACATAAAACAGGCACCATGGTTTTTGTTTTTTTGTTTTTGTGCGAGTGTGTGTGCACGCGTGTGTGCATTTTTGTTTTATTGTGCATGTGTGCACGTGCATGCGTGTGTGTGTGTGTGTGCAGTTTTGTTTTGCTTTGATTTTTATTTTTTGTTTTGTGTTTAGTCTTTTGAAAGAGAGATGGATAGACAGAGAACATGAAGTAGGGTAGTTGGTTGGGTAAGGAGGTGGGATGATCTGCAAGGTGTTTGGGGAGGGGACAGAATATGATCAAAATATATGTATGAAAAAAAGTTATCCAATTTTAAAGAAAAATATAGAAAGGTATAATACTGAAATAAAAAAAAATTAAGACAGAAGGAAGCAAAAGATAGTTAAATGAACTTGTGCATTAACTTTATAAAGAAGAAATAAAAACATGTAGGGTTCTAAAGACATATAGACTGAAAATTGATGATAAGTTAGGGTTATTATTGGAGGCACACATCGAAAGGGTGTGGTTCCCAGGATGTAAAGGTAGATAGGTCACTTTCGGATTTAGTTAGTGAAAAATGTACTCTGTGCCTATTAAAAGAGGGAACAGGTGACAACTTCCAGAGTGGTTCTGGACCCACGTAGTTAGAAGGGAACGAGAGGAGAGTGCAGGGACGTGAGGAGTTGTAGCAGGGATGTGAGACCACGGAAGTGAACCGAGAGACAACCGCGGAAGTGAACCGAGAGACAGCAGTGATGAGAACAAGTGCAGAGCAGTTCAGCGCTCAGCCGAAAGACGCCCGGAACTAAAATGCCTGCTTGGGCAGAGCCAGTGTTTAAGGCAGGCCCGCGGCAAGGCAGCTCCTAGCACCTGAAAGGGTCCAATCCCACCCCGGCTGCTCCACTTGCCAGCGTCAGCCCCATCAAACCAGAAGAAAAGTAAATATCGTCTTGGTTGTTGTCTGATGCCTGAGCCAGCTCCCGCAACATTGGTTCCTCCCCAGGGCTCTGAAGTAAGAAGCAGAAGTGTTCGTCGTGCCTCCTCCTCCTCTTTATTTCTCTTTTTCTCCGTCTTCCTTCTCTTTCCCTTGCTTCCCAGCTTGTGGGGTGCCTTTAACATCACGAGTGTTCCCGAACAGCTTGCGAAGTCCCGGTATCCAGGAAGGCCCAGAGAAGCCTTGGTGTAAGCGGAACCCCAGACATTATTTTAGGTTTGGAGTGACCACTCGGGGCTGCATGTGTTTTACGTTTGAATTATCCAGCATTTTTCCTATCTGGTAATGTTAGGTCTCTCAGCCAAATGATAAGGTTGATCAGGGTGGAAATTACAGGGTGAGGCCGCCGGTGGCTCTTGAGCAGAAGACATGGCTTCCATTCATGCAGCGGAGGTTCGCCAGGGCTGTTCTTTTGATTTGACTCTTTGTTTTCATCTTGATGTTTTACTTACTGTGCATTTCCCCCTGTGTCTGTTCAGCTTTATCTTCTTGTGTCTGTGGACCGAATTATTAACATTTAAAAAAAATTTCTCCCTCTTGTCCCTGCCGTGTGTGTGTGTGTGTGTGTGTGTGTGTGTGTGTGTGTGTGTTTTAAAGGAAAATATAGCTTAAAAATCAGATTTCCTGATTGAGGGGTTCCGATTTGCTGGCCTTGCTCTCTAGTGGCTACAGAAGGTGAGAAGCGTCCGTGCTGCTGTCCCATACCCCCCCTTGCTCAGCCACCCCCAGCCCTGCTGCCCTGGATCCTAAAGACAAGCGCGCACCTTTCCTAGCCATGGTTCCCTCTGCTCAAGCAGGCATTTCCGTTCCGGGCGTCCTTCGGCTGAGCGCCGAGTTCATCTACATTTGTCCTCATTGCTGTTGTCTCTCAGTTCACTTCTGCGGGATCTTTTATGCCTCATGTTTGTGCCACAATTCCTGACGTTTTTTCTCCTCTCCTGTTTCCTTATCGTCACTCGGGTTTGTCGTTTTCCTTTAGAGGCACTCGGAAGGTTGCCAGCTGTTATACTCTTTTAATGGGTACAGCACGCGTTTCCCAGCCTCTAAATTCTGAAGTGATCTATACCTTTACATCCTGGGAATCACACCCTTCCCATGTGTGCTTCCAACCCTAATCCTAACCTCTCCTGTGTTTTCGGGCTCCGTGTCTTTAGAATCCTACAAGAGCTTCTTTTATAAAATCAATGCACATGCCAGGTGGTGGTGGTGTGGCGCGCTTTTAATCCCAGCACTTGGGAGGAAGAGGCAGGAGGATCTCTATGAGTTCGAGGCCAGCCTGGTCTACAAGAGTGAGTTCCAGCCGGGCGATGGTGGTGCACGCCTTTAATCCCAGCACTGGGAGGCAGAGGCAGGCGGATCTCTGTGAGTTCGAGACCAGCCTGGTCTACAGAGCTAGTTCCAGGACAGGCTCCAAAGCCACAGAGAAACCCTGTCTCGAAAAACCAAAAAAAAAAAAAAAAAAAAAAGAGTGAGTTCCAGGACAGGCTTCAAAGCTGCAGAGAAACCCTGTCTCAAAAAGAAAAAAAGAAAAGAAAAAGAAAAAAGAAATTTTCTTCAGGTCTGCGTTCTACAACATTGATTTTCTTTCAACTGCTGCTAACATGCAATTTATCACATTGTGTTTTCCCTCTTTCTCTTTCCTTTGTTTATTATATTTCTGAGGCAGGGTTTCAGTGCGTAGCCTAGAGTTCCCTAAGTAGCTCAGGCTAGCCTAAAACTCAAGGCAACACTCCTATCTCAGTGACTCAGTGCTCTAGGGGTACAGCTATGATTACAGTACCTGGCTCGCGTTGTATTTTTTAAACTCTGTTTACAAGCTATCGTGATGACTCAGCTGCTAAAGTTGCCTGCCACCCTAAGATCAATCCTTGGAACCGAGTGTAGAGGAGAGAAATAACCCTTTCATGTTGTCCTCGCCACACATGTCCACACACTAACTCACTGACATCGCCCCAGTGCAGCCCCACTGCCCACAAATAAGTAAGTTGTAATCAAATCAAATAAAGATGTAAACACGAAAGATTTCTATTTACTTCTTTTTCCTTTTCTCAGCCAGTATAGTGCTTCTTAGGTTTTCTCATTTTGGTTAGAGACTTGTTGAAAGCATTATTAATGTGTAGATCTCGCAGGTGGTGGCTTTTCTCCTGCCCTCAGTTTGTGGGGTGCTCTTTGTATGGCTCGCCGTGGATGTGGTTTCTCGTCCGGCTTTTTGAGATCTTCGTCTGACTTGTTCAGTAGAGACGGTTTGTCCTGAGGGAGCCTCGTGAACCTTGAGCTATGGAAGGAAGTATTCCTGCCAAGCAATGTGAGCTTGCTACTGTGAAGGGGTTCCCTGGTCCAGGGAACATTTTTGTGGTGATGTATTGGCTCAGGATTCTCGTGCAGTCTAAACAGTGTAAATCTTGGTGACATGCTTATGCATGGCATTGGCTTGGTGCTTGGTAGGTGACCTCCTCAAACTCTTTGGATGTGCTTCTTATTTAAATATGAGACTGTGACAAAACAATGCAGATTTAGCCTGCTTCCTGGGCGAGGGTCGTAGTTTCTCTAACTCTATTTCCGTGTAGATGGATTTCCAGAATTCTGATGCTGTAGTTTTGTCATTCAGGCCTGCTTTCCTTGCACTGCTAAGGGCAATATCACTTGCCCCCCCCCCCCCTTGGGAATTTCAGTCTCAGCACAGGGCTGAAAGTAGTTGGGCCTACTACTTTGACTTTCCAAGTTTATGAGGTACATTCTTATGCTGGCCACCCTGTGTTCTATTTTATATGATTGGAGTTGAAGGGGGATGCTGGTGAGTTGAGTCTGACATTTATTTCTTTATAAAGTAAACATATTCACAAACTATTAATTGCCTATAGTGTTCCTGGCTTTCCTATAGTTGTTAGGGTGCAATCACGAACAACTCAAAAGTTTTTGATCCCCTCGAAAGAAAGGCATAAGGATCAGTAAGTAAAAATGTAATAAAATCGGATGAAGTCATGGAAATGAAGCAAGAAGAACCGGGTTGGATGACTGTATTTTATTTTGGATGGCAAAGGACCCTTAGTCAAAGGCTTGCATAAGGAGATGAGGCATCATGCAGATACTGGAGAGATTAGCTCAGGGTCTCCAAGAAGGAGGCACCAAGATGGGATTAACAATGCAATAGAGTTTTTCTTTTCTTGTACTGCTGTAACGCCAGAAGCAGTAAGAGCAGGAGGGTTCCTTTTGGCTCATGGTTCAAGAGGATACAGCCCATTATGGTGAAGAAAGCATGCTCGCAGGACGGGGAGGCCGGTCATGCTACCTACATCTGCAATCATTAAACACAGAGTGAACAGCCAGTGGGCCTGGGCGGATGATCCATCCTCCACCTCCTAAAGGATCCACAAAGCTTCCCAGACAGAGCCGCCAGCTCAGGACCAATTGTTGAAACAGTTGAGCCTCTGGGGAAGTTTTTATGTTCAAACTACTACAGCAGCAAACTCTTAGTTAAGACCTGAGGCCAGCGCAAAAGGAAACTGTTAAACCCCTTTTTAAATATTAACCAAGAATTTCAAAGTGACTCTTAAAGAGTGTGGGATGAAGTGCAAAGTCCTCCTGAATGCGCTGTCTGAACCTGGGAGGAAAGGAGGAACTAGCTTTGGGGACACTGGGGAATCCATCCGACTGCCGTAAGGGAAGGGGAAAACTGAGTGGATGCGTCCTCACGTTGTACTGCCCTGAGATTTTGCCAAGGCTTTTGGAGTGTCTTGGAGCTGAAGCCACCTGTTGGGTGAGTTCTCACCTCCCCGAGGCAGCTTTGCTTTGGTGTCCTCGCCATACCAAGTCCGGCACTAGGAGTGGCCCCTGGGAGGCACAGCAGCTGTGCCTGGCCCTTAGGCTCCCTGTCAGTTAGAAGACTCTAAGGCACTTTCTTGTGGCAGCCACACCGTGGTTTCCTTTCAGGGAGAGGGAACAGTTATTGCACAGGCTCTTGCTATGGGTCGGATTATTTGCCCCACCTGCAACTCACGTTAAAAACCGAACCTGCAGTGCCTCTGAGCGTGACTTTATTTAGGAATAGACGTGAGTTCCACTGGAGTTGCACGAGTCCCTAATCTCAAACGACAGCCGTCTCCCTAAGAAGTGAGGTGATTGAAGATATATAGGCTCACAAGAACACCAGGTGAAGATGAGAATAGAGATTGGGGCACTGAGTCTACAAGCCACGGGACACTGGGCATTGCCAGCCCACTGCCTAAGCCAGGAGAGAGGCACAGGTCAGATGTTCCCTGGCACCGTCAGAGAGAGCACGGTCCTGCCAACACACGGATTTCAGATTTCCATAAATGAGACAGTGCCTTTCCAGTTTAGAAGCCAAGTGCTTTTCGATGCTGTGCTACAGAAGCCCTAGCAAACTAACAGAGCCCTGGAGTGGTAGCAGATTTTATGTGCTGTGGAAACATCGAAGAAGGCGGTGAAGATGAGGCAAGTGAATAATGGGAGAGCCGGAGAAGTAGGAGCCAGGTCAGGGATAGGATCTATATACCAGGCTTCTTGAATTAACAGAACGGCTCTGACTTTTATTCTGAGTATGGTGGGAATCCTCTCAGGGTTCAGAGAGGGCAGTGGCCTGATTTCACTTGGATTTCTAAAGTTCCCTGATGTGGTAGAGGAAAGGCAGATACAGAGAAGTCCATCCTGGAGTCAGGGAAGGTAGAGAGGGGTGGTTCACGTGGGAGTAGTTCCTGTGTAGGTGGTATGAGAGCATGAGATGTGATGTCAACTAAAAGGTAGACTGTATAATTTATGGAAGCCTGGGTAAGCAGTGTGAAGGAGGAGAATCAGGAATGAGCATCTCTGTGTGTGTTTATATACACACATATATAAATCTATCCTGGTATAGAATTCTTTCTGAGGCTGGAACTGGGTGAGGAGCTTGTCTGGCGTGCACAGGAGTGTTTTAGAAGTAGCATGTTGTTTTGTACTCCCCCCCCCCGCCTCCCCACCCCAGTGTTTGTGGACTTCTTTCAGTATCGCTGCAGGTATGTTAACTTTATTGTATTTGGAGAGCTAGGCTGTATTTCTTGAGTGTTTGCACCACTCTGGAGCTAGCTCCCTCTAGATGGACTTCTGTGTCGTCTCCGTCTTTTTGAGTGGCTGTCATCAGTGAGGCTTAAATAGGTATGTGTATCTATTACTTCAGAAAAACAGTGCCCCTTCAACTTCGTGGCTTAACAGCGACACTTGGTTATTTCACAAGAGTGACGGCACAGCTTCGCTGACTCTTGGGTATAGGATCACTTGAGAGAAAGTCTCAAGCTGTGTCTGGCTTTCTCAACGGTCGCCAGCAGGACGCAACTCCTAGTCAGCCTCTGTTCCTCACTGCCCGGTAACTGGTCAGTCCTTTGCCGTGTGAGTTTCTTGGTAGAACCACAACATGACAACTATTTTTTTTTTCAAAGTAAGCAAGAAAGAGTGAGAAAGTATTTAAACAAACAGAAGCCACAGTTCTTACAGCCCAATCATTGAATTGTTTCATCTTGCTGGTATTCCAGTCACCAGAAGGAAGCCACTGGTCCACACCCACTAAACAGAGGATTGATTACACTAGGTTGTAGATACTAGAGACCCAGATCACTGAGTTCCATCTTAGCAACCTGCTCGCAACAATAACCCTATACACTCGTCTCCAATAGGTAGGTTTGCCAAGGGAACGAAAAGCATTTTAAAAGGGGTAAGGGACATGGCTTTGAGGATAAAGTGCATGCTGCATAGTCATAAATACCTGAGTTTGGATCTCTAGCCCCCGGTTAAAAGCTGGACCTGGCAGTACACACCTCTAATGCTGGAGAGCATAGGGAAGCAGGCCGCAGAGGCTCCCCAGGCAGCTGACCTAGCAGAAATGGTGAGTTCCGGGTTTGGTGAGAGACCTTGTCTCAAAAAAAAAAATATATATGGTGGAGAAATAATTGAGGAAGACACCTCTTGTTCTCTGACTGCCCACACACACACACACACACACACACACACACACACACTGTGTGTGTGTGCACCACCGTGCACACATTCAGGTTTTAAGATTTCATCTGGATGGCACCGTAGCCCGCATTTGTAATGTAAACACTTGGGAAGTGGAGGCAGGAGGATCAGAAGAAGCTCAAGGTCATCCCCAGTAAGTTTGAGGTGACCCAAAGATCTATAAAACCCTAAGTCTTAAGTGAAAGACCTCGTGTATATCACCTTTCTTTATGAAAGCTTCATTCCAGACTTCTAGTTCATTTTGTTTGAATATTTTTCCTTGCTATTGCTCTTCTGAGAGGTAGAGCTTTTGAAACAGCCTTTTACAGACTTTACCACAATTATCTCGACTTCCTTCTTCCCACCCTTCCAAAATGTTCTAGAACGGGAAAGAGTGAAGTGTCGTATGATACAAAAGTATCAACTGGTACATGCCATCCCTGTCATCCTGGTAGCTAGTCTGGGTTATGATGACCTGGACTGGGCCATGAAATAAAATCCCTGTCTTTACTTGTTTACCAGCTTTGGGTTAGGTTTATTCGGCCTGCCCGGCCGGGAGTCAGATAGACCTGTGATGTCAAGGGAAATACCACTTGAGTCATGTCTTCTAAATCCTCAGGGCTCATGGGCTTCCTGGAGTACATGGGTTTCCTCATAAGTCACAAAACTAAGTTTTACTGTTTTTCTGTTTACTCCGAGATTGTTGAGAGAAATACAGATTAATGTAGGAATTCCTCTATCTTCTTCCCATGCAATTTGAGGTAGCTTTCGAAAGCCCTATTCATAAAAATGTGAACTGTCATTCCAAATGTCTGTGGGCCGTAGTTCAGTCTGCTATAGCTAAGTGCACTAAACCCGATGACTTACGGACAACAGAAATTTAATTCTATATTTCCAAGATTAGGGTGATAACATGCCTTCATTCTCATGTGGGCCTTCTTGGGGGCAACAGAGTTCTCTGGCGCCCCTATTGTAAGGGAGCCAGTCCCACTTATGAAGGGGATCCCTTGTGACATGGCTACTTCCCAAAGACCTCATATCCAAACACTACCAGGGTTAAGAATTTTAGTATGTAAATATCAATGGATATTATTTACTGTGGCTATTGGGTTATACGTCCCGCCTTTGGGCTTGGTCTACCTTAGAAGCCTTCCAAATGAACCGCAAGCTGTCTTTTCTCCCGTTTCCTATTGTCTGCAAGTTATGGAGCTGGGAGGGATTGAACAGCTTATGATCAAGCTGGGGGAAGCATCTTGATAGGGACTTTCATCAACAGTCCCTGTGTAAGGATTAACAGAGGCGGAGGAGTTACAATTTACCACCCATTCTGCCTTTGCGGTCCACTTCACTCTTGAGCCATTGCAAGCCAAAAGGTCATGTAGCTCCTTTTGATAAGGCTGAGTTTAAGACCCTAGGTCTCAGGGTGTCATTTCATCTCTCCTGTGATTGCTTAGAAAGTCACTCCAACTGGCTGTGGCAGCTCACACCATTGATCCCAGTCCTTAGGCAGAGGCAGGCGAATCCCTGTGTTTACAGCTAGCGTGGTCCACATAGTGCCAGCCCCGTTGACACAGCAAGTTCCAGACCAGCCTGTGCTACCTAACGAGACCTCAGTAACAAAAGAAAGCCAGCTCCTTTCTCTAGGTGCCCTACAAACTAGATCCTTGTCCCTTCCATGTCTATGTCCTGTAAGCTGTGTCCAGAGAGCAAGGCTTCCTAAACCCTTCGTGTCCCGGCATGACCTGACTCTCCCCGGTTTGCCTCTGTCAGACTGCAGGACAGGTTGTCCTCAGCATTTCCCAAGATTACTCTGCCAGATGAGAAAAGCATGCACTTTATTCAGACAGCAAGCTGAGTCGTGTGGATTGCATTCCCTGAAGAAACTAGAAGCCAAGTGTAGAAACCTTTCAAAGCTGAAATAAATCAGGGCTCCTTGGCCACACTGCCCTGCTCTGTCAGTGTTTGTCATTTTCTAGAAGCTGCTCTGGAATAGGGTATACCAGAAGGGATCAACTAGAGACCAGCTCATTGTCTAGTCACTTAGAATCTGAGAAATCTGTAGCGTCTGGCACTAGCTATCTGATTTAAAATATAAATGTTTGCAAACGCTTGTATCTTGCTCAGTTCTGGAAAGAGCTGCATTTGAGACGTGCTTAAGTGGCTCTGAGACACTTGGTTTTTTCTAATGTGAGTCTGACAGTCTCGTTTGTCTTTCTGGCGCTCTGAAGTCTTCACTTTTGCTTATATTGGGTCTTTGAGGTTTTTATTGACTAAAATTGGAACAAAAATGGCTTGAGTCATCCTAATTTTTGTGGAAACCTATGACATCCTTCCAGAGACTTTTTTCTTGAAGAATGAAGTGTCATTTAAAGAGAAGAGGAGGCCAGGTATAGGGGCACCTACCTTTAATCCCAGCACATGGGAAGCAGAGGTGGGCAGGCAGATCACTGGTGAGTTCTAGGCCAGCCTGGGCTACATTTTGAGACTCTGGAGAGAAAAAGAGCAGTGGTTAGGGAAGAAGAGGAGAGGAGCGGGAAGGGGATGATGGACCGTGACCTAGCGCTTGCCTGCATCTCCTTGCTAGGTGCTGGATGCTCTCTAGGGCAACCTCTCACCTCCTCCAGAACAATCAATGGGTACCCTAATGCAGGCGCCCTTATCACCTGGTATTGGTGGGTGTAGACTTTTAGATGGAAAAGAATCCAATGCATGTGGTTTCCTGGACTCTTGCTTGAACCCCAAACAAAGCAAGTCCTCGCTGCAGGGTTTGGC